CCTCGTGTAGCTTTGCGTGAAATTCAAAAACAAACAAACAAACAGTAAAATTTATTGTATATGGTTATTACACACAAAGATTGGAGTTAGAAGTTTGAAACAATAATGTAGAGTAGTTTAAGCTTGAGAAAGTCTATACAGCCAAAGTTAATCACATCACCGTGGTAGTTATGTGGTAAATAAAGACTATTTCGTTTTTTCTGTCTTCTTTAGTTTAGTAAAGTGAATGTTTTTAGTTCACCTAGAATTCACATTGATTTTCTCACATACATGTTTTCAGCTGTGTGTGTAGTTTTCACAATAGAACGTTGGTCAAAGAAGGTAGTTAGATTCCTTTCGCAATAGCTGTCTATTTTTCTGGGTCATTTCCTATTCTTTTCATATATGCTTTTTGGTGCGAAAGATTGCTGTCTAGTGGAACGCCATATGTAAAAGAGATCTTTTTCACTAGCAGGTCTGGTGATACCTTGAGCATATATATATTTCTTTATTTTGTACTGAAATAACAAAAAGTGATGTGGTAGCACATGTGCACTGAGAGAGATGATATTATAGAACCATGTATGTAATACAATGATCTCATAATCTGGAAAAAGCAAGTCTTAACCTGGAACAGATTCTGGAATTAAATCTCCAGTAAAGTACTGTTACATAGTAAATGCATTCGTTTGCCTTTCATTATTTTTGTAAAGAAATATTACTTTTTACTTTGCTTTTGTTTATGGTTGGTCTTTTCTTTCAACTCAATCAGTGTTAGAGAATTCACATTTACTCCTACATAACATTCCCTGACGTTCCTCTAACTATTTTGGTTACTATTTTTATCCGAATGGAAAGACGTTGTATCTGGAAGCACTACAGCTATAAGTGCTATTGAATTATTAGAATCGAAGCTGATCAGTTAAATGTTTTTGCCTCACTGCCATAATACTATTAGTCCTAAATTATCAGAGCGTCTTACGGTTGGTTCTAAACTATCAGTGTGTTATACTGTTAGTCCAGAATTATATGGTGATCAGAATATCATTAATATGTAACTATCAGATTATGAAACTATTACTTCAAAAACTATCAGGTCACCATTAAGGTTATTGTAGTCTCTGCATTATTCTCCCAAAAACTATCAGTGTGTTATAATATTACTTCAAACTATCAGGTCATCATTCTATTAGTCCTAAACTATCAGCTCATTATACTGTTAGTCCAGAATTATATGGTGATCAGAATATCATTAATACGCAACTATCAGATTATAAAACTATTACTTCAAAAACTATCAGGTCACCATAAGGGTTATTGTAGTCTCTGTATTATTCTCCTCAAGTTAAAAAGTTTGATATCGAGATAGTTGCTTTCCAATATTCCATAAAATATACATTTATACATTTTGAATGTATTGAACTGCATTAGAACGACGGCAGCAACAACGAACATTTGACACATGTGTGTATGGCAACAAACATTTAATTCTTGAACGTTTTGGAATGTACATGTTCCATCTTCAGCAAGACATGTTGAACATGGTAAATTATCAGGTAAAATATTTTATAAAGTTTAAACATTTTATAAAATGTAATTAAAAGGATGAAGTAAATAATTGTTTGTTTTAATTATGCACAAAGCTACACAAGGGCTATCTGTGCTCTGCCCACCACGGGTATCGAAACCCGGTTTTTAGCGTTGTAAGTCCGCAGACATACCGCTGTGCCACTGGGGGGCGAAGTAAATAAAAAGACAACCATATAAACAAGATAGAATAGGATAATCTAACAACTGTAATGTTCGTTTTTGTTGTCGTCGTTCTGGTGTTCATCATTAAACTCCGATTCCCGAATAAATCAGTTTCAAGCATCGAATATAGATATAAAAATTATAATGTAATTATAATTTTTTTATTTTTTTAGAGCAGACTGGTTTCCAACGTTAAAAGGAATGACCTCATGATGTATATTGTATAACTAAATACTAAAAGTTTGTAGTTACGTTAGCAAATATAATGTACGTTAAACATAAATGGTGTAATGCACGTACTGTACGTCACAAATCATATGATAGTACCGCCATCTTGCGATAAGGTACAGAATTACTCTAACGTCACCTAATCATGCTTCCTTGTAGCCACGAATAGTCTGAAATGTTGTGATACTTGTAACAATACAACGTACTCCTCTGATAAAGCCCCCTATTGGCCACATATGGAGGTACAGTGACTCGCACTCTAATTCACGGGTTACACTATTTCTACGACTAAATCGATGTCCCCCGGTGGGACAGCGGTAAGTTTACGGATTTACAAAGCTAAAATCCGGGGTTCGATTTATCGTGGCTTTGCTCAAAAATAAACTAACTAATTAACTAAATAGTACTTGTAGTAAAATTTCTACCTTAATAAACACAAATGATATTATCACTTTGTGGACTGTTAGTATAAATCATAAAGGTTTTGAACGTCCTTAAGGATATCTGATTGTCAACGGTGACGTGGTATATGTCATGACGTACTTTCAAAGTTACCACGAAATAAGTCTCTCGATCAGATACATTGTCAACATAAGATGATGATTTCAACATACTGTATTTCAACGTTAGTTTTGTTTGTTTGTCATTAAACACAAAGCTACACAATGGGCTAACTGTTCTATGCCCTCCACTGGTAGTGAAACTTACCGCTGACCCACTAATGGGGGAGGGCATCAATGGTAAGATTAATAGCGTTTTACAGTAAGACTTTCTGGCTGATAGTTATAATATCTTAAACAAATCCTCATCACGTGAGGGGAAATATTATGTGCTTATACCGTTTATTTTGTTCGTTTATTGTTAAACATAAAACTACACCATGGGCTACTTATGCTGTACTGGGGTTCGATCTCTGTTGTGGGCATAGCTTTGATAGCCCAGTGTGCAGCTTTTACCTTAAACCAAACAAACTTTCGGGACGAACATACATATTGCTATGTACATGAGTTGTTTGTTTGTAGTTAAGCACAGAGATACATAATGAGTTATCTGTTCTGTGCCCACCACGCGTATCGAAACCCGATTTTTAGCGTTATAAGCCTTTAGACCTACGTCGAGCCACTTGAGGACGGTGTGTACGTGAACACTTGCGTTGTATATTAATCATTCTAAGATATTCTCGCGAAGTAATTTAACTAACTCCTAATAACTCTATTCCTTCTGGAAGTTCGATGGGAACCTTTACAGCGTGTCCTTTGCGATGACTGAAATATACTATTACGAGCTTGTAGAACTACAGCTAAAGAACTGACAAAAAATTATAAAATCTACGAGAGAATTCTTGAAATTTCTGGCACCCATTTTAACTGCAAACCTGAGTAGTCTATTTAGAAAGTCTTAAGAAATCGCTGTATCGATTTCAATATGAATTACGGGCTTGGAATATATAATCCTACTAAACGCTGCGCTCTGTTGTTAAGATTACAAGTCCCAAAGAGTAATGGATGTAATATAAGCTATCCTTCAGCCATGCAATTTCAACATGCTACTCATGAAGACGCCAGCTGTTGACAAAAGGTTTCTCTGATAATTTGAAAATTTTATGTTTTTAATCTGTTTTAATATAAATGTTAGTATAGAGTTTTATCTAAATACATTTGTAGTTTTGAGGAATTATCGACTGAACGAAGTTTAAAAGCAGGATACAAATAAATGTTCTAACCATATTTAATTTCCAGAAAATTGAGTGGGACACCCTTTTATCCCGTTACTTTAAAATGCTTATGATAATGTATTTTGGAGAAACTCATAAATTGAAATAAACATGTTTTAGACTTAAATGCTCTGTCAATTACCAAAACTCGTAACTGGAGTGAGTTATTCAAGGTTCGATATTTCTATTGACTAGAGTAAATGTACGGTTAATTAAATAAGGTTTGAATCCCGCTCAGCGCAGCTTTCACTTGTGTACTAACTTTTGGTTAATCCAATAACAATTTTTCAATAAATAAATGAATGTGTTCTGTAGTAGTAAAAGCTGAAATTGATAGATATACCGGCATAATGTAATAATCTGCTTATATACTAAAGGTTCTTAATACACTGTTTGCTACATCGTCAAGAGCTGATGACTTCTGATTATAAGCTCTGATATTACAACTACTTTTTACATTCTTACGTTATATTTATCCATATGTTATTAGATCCCCACAGCCTGTCACCGCCTCGAGTGAGAGACCAGCAACAAAGAATTCAAGCTGTACTGGGCAAGGACATCGAGTTAACCTGCGTTGCCCAAGCCTTTCCTGCTCCCACCTACAGGTACGTGAAACACGGTGTTTTATTCTGAGAGCACGCGCCACATTACATTTAAACAGAGAAAGATAAAAGTGATCCCATCACTTGTTGCGTGGAGGTGTTGTGGTATAACACTGTTACTCGGAGACGTTGTGGTATAACTGTTACGAGGAGATGTTATGGTATAACACTGTTACGTGGAGAAATTGTGGTATGACACTGTTACGTGGAGATATTGTGGTATGACACTGTTACGTGGATTTATTATGGTATAACCTGTTACGTGGAGATGTTGTGATATAACACTGTTACACGGAGACGTTGTGGTATAACTGTTACGTAGATATGTTATGGTATAACACTGTTACACGGAGACGTTGTGGTATAACTGTTACGTGGAGATGTTATGGTATAACACTGTTACGTGGAGATATTGTGGTATGACACTGTTACGTGGAGATGTTATGGTATAACACTGTTACGTGGAGATATTGTGGTATGACACTGTTACGTGGATTTATTATGGTATAACTTGTTACGTGGAGATGTTGTGATATAACACTGTTACACGGAGACGTTGTGGTATAACTGTTACGTGGAGATGTTATGGTATAACACTGTTACACGGAGACGTTGTGGTATAACTGTTACGTGGATTTATTATGGTATAACCTGTTACGTGGAGATGTTGTGTATGACACTGTTACGTGGAGATATTATGGTATGACACTGTTACGTGGAGATGTTGTGGTATGACACTGTTACGTGGAGATATTGTGGTATGACACTGTTACGTGGATTTATTATGGTATAACCTGTTACGTGGAGATGTTGTGATATAACTCACAATTCTACTTCAGTATTTCTATTATACATGTACGTATAATACTTACGTTTTTACTTCAATGTTTCTACCTCATTGAATATGTAAAAACCTATGTCTTTAATTTAGTGTTTCTACCACACGGGCGTATATAAAAGTTATGTTTATACTTCAGTAAACCACACATACACATATACACCTTGGATATATTTCTAAAGTTGCTGAGAAATTTAAAACGTTTACGAAGTAAATGCTGTCTACTTTATAGTTTTCTATAACTTTTCGCTGTGCATTTTTTACTAAAGCTATCAAACTGTCTTATACTTTTAGTACCATGAAAAGTAAAAACCTATTGGAAAATTACTAATTTTTCAATGGCGCTAAGCCTATAACCAATCGTTTGTTATATTTTACTCCAAACGTAACATCTTTTGTTGTGTTATTTTTTCAGATGGTACAGAGACCAATATTTGATAAGTCCTAGTTCTAGACTCACAATCGTGGACAGTTCTCTGTTGATAGAACAAGTGGAAATAACAGACAGTGGAAAATACGTCTGTATCGTTAACAACAGCTTGGGAGAAAAATCTGTGCAGATAACATTGATAGTAACTGGTAAGAATTTAATTGCTTGCTAAAATTCACTTAATTATATTTCTCTGTTATAAATTATAATTTTGACAATATGACAGCATATTGTGTTTGTTTTACTTGGGAAAATTTTACTTCCTTAATTTGATTTAGCCCCACTTTTGGCGGAAGTTCAACCGGAAACCCAAGAAGTTCGCATTGGAAAGTCGGCCATATTTAATTGTTCAATTTCTGGACATCCAGTTCACAGTGTTCATTGGAAGAAGAATAACCGGCCCCTAATTGAAGACGGTAGAATACGGCTGTTGAGCCGTGAAGTCTTGTACATCAGTAAGGTGAAGAGGGGAGATCAAGGAATGTATCAGTGTTTTGTGTACAATAGTCAAGAATCCGCGCAAGGAAGCGCAGAATTAAAGCTAGGAGGTAAGACAAAGCAATACGTTAATGTTATGTAAATAATATGTCTGTATCCCAAATATCAAAATACTATCTAACAGCATTACGTGCACATATTCGGAAACGTGCGCATGAAAGATGTAAACTTCTGCTAATAAAATAGTGCGAGTAATGTAACAATATTAATCAAATAATATAGAACCTTTACATAATTCGCTTTTCTGTTCACTTCTACAGCTTACATAATGTACAGAAACTACTCATCTTTAATTTATTTAAACTAGGATCTAAAATAGAAGAACCTTTTGATTACAACAATAAGATGCTTAGCGGTAAGTCTGCAGTTTTGGAGACCCCTGGGGGCAGAGCACAGATAGTCCATTGTGTAATTTTGTGCTTAACAGCAAATCAACGGCAATCAGAGGTATCTGATTACAGTAATATCCCATTTTTATTGTATGATAATCAGGATACTTCATAACTAATGGAACATCTTCAGTTAAGGATGAAATAGACGTAAGTATTGTTAATTAAATAGAGAAAACTTTGCTGGCAACGCTTTCGTCGATATCAATTTTTAAGTTATGTTATAAAAGTAAATTTACCTTACAAAATTTCAAACTAATTCCAACGTAATACGTGTTAACCAAATCGTTCAGATTATTTAGCATATTTCCATTATGTAGTGTCAGATATAAAAGACTGTTAAGTGTACATAGTATTATTAATTCATTTACTTTGTGTTTGTAATTCATTGATGTCGAGGCTATAGAACGTTGTGTTTGTGAATCATTGATGTCGAACTATGGAAACAGAGTAAAAGTAAAGTTACGTGAAAGTAAAGTTCAGTCAGAGAAAAGTTAAAAAACGAAAAGTTAACCATCATGGAAGTGAATGGCCTAATGGTTGACATGTTAAGATGAGATTAATAGTTTGAAAGAGAATAATTTATCCTGTCAAAGGATGTTCTAAACTAACTGAACCGCCTGTGTGGACTTTGACAAAAGGCAGACGATTATTGGAAGTTAAGGATACAACTGCGCTAACTCACGCGACAGCGTAAGTGAATCACACACGGATACTATTGCGATAAAAAATAGTTCGGCTTGTCAACTTAATTCTAAAGCAACTGAATTGGCCTAAGTGGACTTTTAACAACAAGAACTGTATAGTATTTAAGGTACAACTACGATCTCCATATTGTAAAGAATTTTTGTACATACGTTTAACTTGTTTCGAATATATACATATATAAATTTTAGGCAGATTTTGTTAAACAAGACCGATGTCTGTAGGTTTACTTTCTCCACTGCATACAAGACAGACGAACGGATTCTAAAGGATATCGTTTACAAAAATACTACACCAAAGAAATAGAACACAAAACTGCAACTCAACATCTACTACAAGTCGACCACAACGTTGGACCTTATCGTGAAAAACAGCCCTGCTAAAAAGACAACAGATCTACAGCAAGTGAACGTCATTTACGAGTGCAAGTGTAATAAAGGAGACTGG